GCACCGGTGACGGTCGCTGCCCAGATGCGCGTGCGCGGAGAGGTGCAGGAGACCTCGGAGCCCTGTGCGCGGCTGCATGCTTGCAAAAGGGGGCCCCGGTCCTGGACCAACGCCCCGCCGGTGCGGCCCTCCGCGCCGCTGCCGGTGTCGCGCCGGAGATTCCTCCCCGTCATCCCACTCCTCCCACCCGTCCTCCCCTCCGTCCAGGCCCCCGGAGGTCCTCATGTCCGGTCACCTGACCCTGTCCGCCGACGTGTACGCGCTGGGCGTGCTGCTGTACGAGATGTACGAGGGCGCGCGTGCCTGGAAGGGCATGCGCGCCAGCCAGGTGTTGTACCAGGTCGCCACCCAGGGCAGGGGCCTGGAGCCCTCCCCATGGGCCCAGGGCGACGCGCTTGGGGCCGACGTCCAGGTGGGGGGAGCAGGGAGTTGGGGTGTCCGGGGGGGCGAAGGGGTGATGCAGCCGCTGAGTGCGGCGGGGTGCGAGCGGTTGCGGGGGGCGGCTGGGGCGCAGGCGCCGCAGGCTCGGGCTTCGCGGGCCGGGCCGTGCACGGCGCGGCGCCGCGCCTCCGCGAGGAGCACCCCTCGGGGCGGGGCCCCGACGCCGCAAAGGCCAGGGCACGCGCGTCCCCGCCCCAACCCGCCCGGCCCTCCCCCATCTCACAGGCCCTGATGCGCGAGTGCCTGGCGCCCAGCCCGCGGGCCAGGCCCAGCGCGCGACAGGTGCTGGCCCGGAGCGAGGCCCTGCTGCGTGGGATGTCGGCGGGGGGCGTTGAGCCGCTGCCCGAGGCGGTCCCTCCCCTGGCTGCACACCAGACAGACCCAGACTTCCAGCTGGACTGGACGCCCTGCCTTGCGAGCATGCCGGACCAGGTAGAGGCGGCCGAGGACCCCAACGTCCTAGCAGTGGCTGCGTGAAGGGGGGGGGCTGGTGCCCGTCCCCTCCGCCACCCCCTGTCCCCTCCCCTCTCCCTGGCGGCAGAGCGCGGCCAGGCACCGCAGCATTCACTCGGTCCCTGGTCAGGCTCGTGGCCCTGGCGGGAGGTACTGCGCACACCTCCTGCCCCATGGGAGCGCCACCGTCTGCTGAGCCCACTTCCCTCGACTGCCAAACCCTAGACTGAGATCGGATCACTCAATTTTGCGCCGCAGCGGCGAGAGTGCGCTGTCTGCTCCAGAATCGCTCTATTTCCATGTGCACTCCCCAGGTCGTATGTAACATGCGCGTTGCATCCCGCTTTTTAATTGAGCCCCTTTCGTCGCTGAATCAGCGAAAGCACCGCGAAACAATGCCTGTCCCGTCCATGCATCTCAACAGCCTCATGCAAGGTTTGCACAAGCAAGACCATTCTGATCTGGGAACTTGTAGGTGTTGTATGGGGGAGGTTGTGCTCTTGAATCAAGTGGTATCACGTTTCCGGAACACCCCGAAACGTGCATGGGCTTATTGCGATGAGAGCATTTCCCACCGCGATTGTCTCACGCGCATTTCGGAGAAGGTTTGCAGAACACTCCAGGACATGAAATGCCTTGTCACGTATGAACCATCTCCCACGGCCTTGAAAAGATCGCTCGACTTCCATTCTAGATGGTGCAAAACCCTACGACTCAAGAAGGTGCCACCGACTCAGGCATTGGGCACGGCGGGCAGGGAGAAGAGAGGAGTTGATCAAAACTGCTCGATCACGTTCCCCCATGGCGATCCGAGCAGCACATGATGCATCGAGGTGGCGCCGTTGCAAAGGAGTTGCGCATGGGTCGAAGCAGGGAGAAGGAAACGGCGAGGCGTGCCGCGGGGGTGAATTCAGAGTCAAATCTGCGCCTGCCCCGGCGCTCCTGACGGGGATTAACCCCCACGACTGTATCCATCGACACTCGTCTCGGGGGAATAAAAGCGGCGACCCAGCTCCAGAGGCGCAATACTTCTCACAATCTGTTTAACTTTCAACAAAGTATAAGTCAATTCAACTTGACACAATGGCAGGAGGTGGCATGGCCAGCGTTGCTGGCGCAAATGTCGACCAGTACAACGGCCGCCTGACCGGCTATGTTATCTCGGTGGCCATTATGGCCGCCTGTGGTGGTCTCCTCTTCGGTAAGCACATATAATGTTTCTTTAATTACATTGCACCGTCGGGCGTTTGGGTCGCCATCGGACTGCGGACTCCGCGCGGACGCCTCCTAGGCATGCACATCCTAAACTCTACTCCTTTGCCCTTCCCACCGCAGGATACGATATCGTGAGTCCTTCAATTCTTATAATTTACATTTTGTTAGGGCATCGCACATGTCAGCGTGGGCCTCATGATTGAATCGACGCGCACTTTCTCATTTCCTCACTATCCCACCCCTTGGTCACAGGGTGTCACCGGAGGCGTTACGGCGATGGCTTCCTTCCAGGAGAAGTTCTTCCCCGAGGTGTATGCTCGCACCGTCGAGGGCATCACCGATACCAGCCCCTACTGCAAGTGAGTCTTGCCAAGTGTGTTGGCTTGGACTGCACAGACATGTGGCACGCAGTGTACTCGTGTGAGCCTCTTGCTGAACCATGTGTTATACTCACCCACCCATAGGTACGACAACCAGGTCCTGCAGACCTTCACCTCCACCATGTTCCTGGCGGGCATGTTCTCCTCCCTGGTGGCCGCCACCGTGTGCCGCAAGTACGGCCGCAAGCCCACCATGTTCTTCTCCGCCTGCCTCTTCATCGTGGGCGCCGGCCTGCAGGCGGGCGCCGTCAACCTGGGCATGCTCTTCGCCGGCCGCTGCATCCTCGGCTTTGGCGTGGGCTTTGCCAACACCGCCGTGCCCATGTACCTGTCCGAGGTTGCCCCCGCCAAGTACCGTGGTGGCCTGAACATCCTGTTCCAGTTTGCCGTCACCTTTGGCATCCTGATCGCCGGCCTGGTCAACTACGGTACCCAGAACTTTGCCTCTGGCTGGCGCGTGTCTCTGGCGCTGGCGGCCGCCTTTGCCCTCGTCCTGGGCGTCGGCTCCATCGTGCTGCCCGAGTCCCCCAACTCCCTGGTCGAGCGCGGACAGGTGGAGAAGGGCCGCGCCGTCCTGCAGCGTCTGCGTGGCGTGGAGGACGTGGAGGCCGAGCTCGAAGACATGATCGAGGCCACCGAGGAGGCTAGCCGCGTCAGCCTGCGCCAGTCCTACTCCTTCATGTTCCACCGCGCCAACTCCCCCCAGCTCATCATCGACATCATCATCCAGTTCTTCCAGCAGTTCACTGGTGGGCTTGGGGGCGTGGTGGATTCACAATGATGGCATGCAGTGGTGGAGGGTGGGATGAGTCAGCTCTGCTGGTGGCTTGTAGCACAAGCCCCTGACAGCCTTCCCACGAGCCCCTTCCCATCTAACCCAGGCATCAACGCCATCATGTTCTACGTTCCCGTGCTGTTCAACTCCCTGGGGTCCAGCCGCAAGACGTCTCTGCTGAACACCATCATCATCAACTGCATCAACTCCGCTTCCACCATGGTCGCCGTCCTCCTGGTCGACAAGTTTGGGCGCCGCTTCTTCCTGCTGGAGGCTGGCGTGCAGATGTTCATCACCCAGACCATCGTGGGCGTTGTCCTGGCCACCCAGTTCGGCAAGTACGACGATGGCAAGCTTCCCACTGGCACCACCGTGGGCGTGCTTGTTGTCATCTGCGTCTACATCGCCTCCTCTGCCTGGTCCTGGGGCCCTATGGGCTGGCTGGTGCCCTCCGAGATCCACACCCTGGAGACCCGTCCCGCGGGCATGTCCATCGCGGTGGCCGCCAACTTCCTCTTCTCCTTCGTCATCGGCCAGTCTTTCCTGTCCATGCTCTGCGCCATGAAGTGGGGCGTCTTCCTCTTCTTTGCCGGTAAGCGGGCAGGCTCGTGTGCTGATTGGTGCAGGGTCCACGCTGTCTGCTGTCGTGTGGTCGCAGATGGGAGGGCTGTGGCTTACTGCTTTCTGCAGCACCTGATGCAAGTCCTGCCCCACCTCTCCAAACCTCGCAGGATGGGTGGTGGTGATGACCCTCTTCGCCTACTTCCTCATCCCCGAGACCAAGGGTGTCCCCGTGGAGCGCGTGCCCATCATGTTTGCCCGCCATGCCCTCTGGTCCCGCGTCATGGGCCCCGTGTCCCTGGAGATCATTGAGCGCGATGCCACGCGCACCATCTCCCGCCAGGCCGCCGCCGACCAGCGCGCCGCCGCCAACGGCGACCTCAAGAAGGCCGCCCTCTGAATGCAACCACCATGAAAACCCAACTCAATCGCTCTGCTCTCCCCAGGTATCAGTCCCTTGGACCGATCAGCACTTCCCTATGGCCTCCCACCAAAATATTCTAAACCCAACCAGAGCTTCCCTCTCCCCAGATGTTTCCCGGCTTGCACGCCTTGGCTGAACCCTTTGGCACCTTTTTCATGGCAACTTCGCCTGGTTATGAACGAAATTTTACCGCTGGGGCTCCTTCCCAAACCCAGTTGCTTGCATCCATGTGGCATCTTATGTTTGCCCCCTACCCACTACTAAGCTGACATTTTGGGTCAGTGAAACCTCTCGAGCTCAGGCTTGCATCCCCAATTCTCTGAGCGACTTAGACCCCTGCCAATGTATCAATGCTGAACCCTCTCTCTGCAAAGATGCTTGTGCTCTCTTTTGGAAGTTGTGTAATGCGATGACAGCTACATACTTTTACACTTGGGTAATGAGCCAGATCTCACCAAACATGCCTATCTGCGCTACAGCTCATCCTTTGCAGAACTGCATCCACCTGGAAGGCTTCCTGGGCCTTCGAACCCGTGACGACGCCCTATCAGCATGGTAGCTACGCGTAAAACTCCCTAACTCTCACTAAATGCTGATTGCTGGTATACCTCTGGAGGTGCATTGAGATGGAGCACGACACTTGTGGCATTGGGTGCTCTTGGCTTTGGTGCTGGAGACGGCAGGCCACAGAGCAGCTCGAGACTTCAACCCTATTGGAGGGTTGGGGACTGGCCACTTGTCTAAAATAAAGATTGCATGTGTGTTCTCCTTAATATCTCGAGTACGTGGGGAGATTCAACGATGGATTCAACAGAGGGGTATTTAAATTTGGGCCCACAGTACACCATTGCTTACCCTCGCAGCTCATGGTTGCATGTATGGGTAAAGAGGCTTGATCGCAACATCCTCAACAATTTGCTTGATCCTATGGAGGCCGATGCATTCTAGAAATGCGATCCTTCACATCCCACCCACCGGCAAGTGGCTGCCGCTTCCAGCCTTTCGAATCCGCTGCTGCGGGTACTTCTGATGAGAGTTTGTTGCTTCCGAACTGGAGGTATCAGGGCCTCCCATAGCGAGGGGACGTGCGGTGCCATGTCAAAGGCAATGGTGCTCCCATTTAGCATCGTATGTCTCCTTCATGAAGTCGTGAGATACTCTGTGCTTCTCATGCAAGGTATCTGCAGGAGGGTTGCTGCTGGCAAGCATGTCTCATCTACTTGATGAAAGCCTGCACCGAAACGAAACCAAAGTCGTACAAGGACCCAATGAAGGCGTTACACAGCCAGCACAATGTTCCTTCTATCAATCACTAAAGGGGTTGGGGCATTGTCACATAAAATTCTCTTACTTTCCTTCGACACTTTGCGAACCACCCGGGGTTGAATGGCAGTACTACAACCTCGGTGGTAGGACAGCATCTATATGCAAATACTCGACATTGACAATGGCAAGCTCTCGATCTTTGTGACGCCGCATCCCAGCAGCAACAAGCCAAATTCCTACATCGGCAATGGCAGGAGGTGCCATGGCCAGCATTGCTGGCGCACATGTCGACCAATACAATGGCCGCCTAAACAGCTATGTCCTCGGTGGCCTTCATGGCTGCCTGCGGTGGTTTACTGTTTGGTGAGGGTGAAATGTGATATTTAGGCTCAGGAACCCGATGCGTGCGCGTCTTGGCAAGCGCAACAAAGGCGTTCGTCTTTTGCGTCGTCCGGCCGGAACCTTGCAACTATGACTCACTCGCACCGTATCGACCCTTTTTGCAGGATACGACATTGAGTTCGTTCTTTGTGTTTGGAAGCGTCCTCAACTCCTTCGGAAGCCCTCCTGCCCTTGACCTTCTGCTGTCGTTAATATGCCTTCTCGGACTCACGTGCCGTGCAGGGTGTCACCGGAGGAGTCACCGCCATGGCCGCCTTCCAAGAGAAGTTCTTCCCGGACGTCTATACACGCACAGTCGAGGGTGTAACTACTCACAGTCCCTATTGCAAGTAAGCATGCAAACATCTGTATACCTCGGTTAACTCGGGCACTTGCTCCTGCTTATAGTATGGAAATGTTTCCTGATCACCGCAATCACCTTATCCCCACTAAGTACGACAACCAGGTCCTGCAGACCTTCA